CCAAAAATGCTTTGATTGACAGTTTAGAATTTAGTAAATATGAAAAAGAAAACCTTCAATACAGCAAACACAATGAATAATTTTTTTCCTCTGTGGGGACAAATATACATAGATGTGGGTGTGAGTAGGGATACAAATGTAAATGAAAATAAGAGCCACACCCACACCCACACCCACACCCACACCCACACCCACACCCACACCCACCCACACTCACACCCACAGTCAATTTGAAGCAGCATTCGTATCGAAAACTAAATGTTTAATTGTGACATACCAATCAGTAACAGTTTTTCAATCAAATTATTACAATCAATTTAATCCTAAACAGGAACACTAATGATTTTTGTATCCGTTTCCATTCAATTAGAAAAATTCTATTTTTCTATGATGAATGATTCTTGCAAAGAGTCATTCAATATTCTCAAATAACAAAAACTAATAATTGTGTGTTATTCAAGAGGGAAGGTGCAAGTTTGGAACTTTAAGCACTATGTCAGCACTTACCCCCTAAGGAACTAATTAAAGCATTCAAATATTGAGAAAACAGAGAAACATTAACGTATTTTCACATTCCTTTCATGCATAAATTGTTCTCATAACAAATCAATCAATGAAAACTATAAAACGTATGGCCTTGTCTACACTAGAGAAATAATGTGAATTAAATTTCGAATTAAATCGGCATGCGTCTACACTTAAAATTTAATGCACCAATTAAAAATTAGATTGTGCCACTACGCTGTAGCCGCAATATATAAATACAACACACTTACACAAAAGTGAAAATGTATTTGTTTTGTAAAAAAAAGTTAAAGAGGGGTCGTCAATGAAACACATTCATTAATGAAATCTTTTGAATTCAGACAGAACTTCTCGATATGTGAACTACTTTACATGTGTAACAGCTAAGACTTTTTTTACTGTTTTACTGTGCAAGCAGTGATTCGACTGAGTTTAGACTATTAGATATCGAATGAAAGAGCAAAGTTTGCTTTAATTAAAGCTTTTTATCGGTTACTCTGAAAATAAGAGGCAAGCAGAAGCTGTTAAACACTGAAGAGTTTATGTTGCTGCTCCTTTTTTTTTCGTAGTATATTCATGACCATCGCTAAAAATACGATTCGAAGAAAAACATTAAAATTTTATTTAAACAACAAGTTGAATGAATTATGATACGAAACAATAAACTATATGTATTTTACAATTGAATTAAAAAACAGATACTATATAAAAATTTAGATAGGATTTTGGATAAAATATTGAGTTAATGCTTCTCGTACTGCTGCTGCACCCGTCGTTTGTATACCACATGCTGGTTTTTTATAAATTGGTTCTTGGATATTCCAATCTATCTCAATTGTATCTTCATTTAAATGATATAATATTATTAAAACTATCAAGAACGAGTTTTAACTAATTTTTCACAAAACTTTAAAAAAATAGAAACAATAATTATTAAGATTTTCATTAAAATGATCGCAGTAATACAACATGTATCCTGATTACATAATTCATTATTGAATTTATATCTACGACTTTCACATAATATCCAAAAACATTGCTTAGAAATCAATTTAACAAAAGGAAATATTTTATTCGCATCTACAGAAGAACAATAGATGGTATTAAAATAATTCTATACTAAATAAACATACATATTCGAACCAATTACTATTTAACAAAAAAAACAATTGTTGAATGCACAGATAAAACTTTGACTTATATTAAGCAAAACTATAACATTAATTATATAACAATTATATTTTTACATACTAATAAAGAAAAATAAAACGTAAAACAAATCATTTAAATATATTCATCGTGGTGCGTTAAAACTATTTGCAATGCTTTTAAATACATTCAAGAACTCTTTTTCATTGTTCAAGCTTTCTTCCTGTAGCTTAGTTTGTTTTTCCAATAAAAGTAATGCCTTTGTTTCCGCTTTATTCGCGATTTCATTAGCGCTATCAATTTTACTTATCATTTGCTGTATGAGATCCATACTAGAAATTAAATTATCGTATTAGGTAAACAATCTATGACAATACGTATTTATTTACCGCATATCTATTATTTTCTTTTTTTTTTGATATTAAGTTTTTTTTATTTGATGACGGAGGTGTGTTCACGGTTGTAACTTTCTGTATAGGTGTTGAATTACATGGATTGATCGAGGAACATGATCTATTATCCGAATTAGTTGTAGATTCTTCAATTTCTTTGATTAAATTAGAAATGTTATTGTCAGCATCTTCAGTCAATGAATCAAAATTAAAATCAGTAGCAGAAGCGTTTTCAATGTCTTGAAGAAGCTGTTCTGGCTGAAAAATTATTGAATCAGATATGAGAGTATCATCATTAAATGGTCGTTCACCTGATTGCCAAGATAAAAAAGAACGGCATATGCGACTATGTTTATCAAAAATCATGTCTTACCGAGCAGCTTATCAATTTGATCAAAATATCGCCATGAAGATGAACTATTGCCTGTTTTACCGTGTTCTTTTTTCTTTTTTCTGTATTCGGCAACAAGATTAGTTATTTTTGCCTTGACATCAGCTCCTGTCATGACTCTTTGAGAAAACAGTTGGTTGATTTGATGTGCCATAGTATTATATATTGGAGTATTTCTTGATCCACCAGTCATTAAACTTTCATAATTATCACTCCAGATGCTAATAAAAGTTGCTGTTTCTTCTTCAGACCAATTTTTTCCACGTTTAATTTGCTTTTGATCTGTATAATAGTAGTATGTTTTCATGTTTCATTATAAGCAAAAATTACTCACAATATTCTTCGTTTTCATTCTTTGTTAACCCTTTAGTTGTTGATTTTTTATCAGATTTACAGAGGTCTGAATGCTGTCGTTTCATAGACGTTGTTACTGATGAAGATGGCAATATTTCGATTGTGTCTGAATCTGTAAAAACAACATTGATAAATAATACCTCGTATCGTATAGGAAATAACCACTATGCCATACAATATTCGTTTGTTAAGTAAATAACCTCAAAAAGACTACATGAACAAGCACAACTCTAGTGTTTAAAAGAACTGAGTAAACATGTTTTCGGATATTTCTATTGAACAATCAACTAGGGCAGTATATCTTTTTTCAACATCACTATAAAGGCATGCAATAATCAGTGACTGAAGATATTATTGCTCAAGCGTAGGTTAGTAATTCTTTGATCAACAGTATCACGAGAAAATATTTGAAAGAATCGTTTCATTTTACATATGAAAAAGATGACTGCTTTTACACAGAATAGTCATTATTTTTACCCATATCTGATATGGTATCACATTGTACAACATTTTTTGCTGGTGAATCAGTTTCAGCCATGGTAAATATTTTGCATGTTTCTTGGCGTGTCGATACTGAGGAACATGTTTGTTGCAAAGTTTGTTGATTAATATTCAATGAGCATAATGGTACTCCTGATATTTCGTCAACTTGTAATGCAGAAGACGAACCAGATGAAATACTAGCTGCAGAATTTGAATTAATCTGCTCAATCTGGCCAGATGAGTGTAGTCCTGAATGTTGTAATATTGACTGTTTGATTGGTGCAAGTAGTTGCATATTTTTATTCGAAGGAAGAGTTATACGAATATATGGAGGATTCATCGTAAACCTTCTTTTAAAAGAGTAAGAAATATTCTTTAATTTTTTACTTCTAAAACAAAGAGATTATGAGACAATAATAGTGGCTGTTTCTTAAAGATGTGTTTTATTCGATAATATTCATACAATCTGGCTAAAACCTGGTATTCTGTCTTAATTGAAAGCGAGTCGATGTTTTTACTGAAGCAAGACTGAAATGCTATACGCAACGACAATATAATTCTTCAAAGGTTGGCAGTCAGATAGTGATATAACAATTTTTAATCAATTTTTTTCAACTTTATGCAGAATAATATAGAAAATCAATTGAGTATCAGTACTAGCTACATTTATTGTGGAAGAGCAAAACATTATTTTACTTCTTAACAGTCGCAACAATTTTCATTAGTTATGCACCAATAATTTAATCAGTATGTCTTTACTGTCAATGTGTAATGATACTTAGATTTGTAAACATAATTCCACTACAAGAAAGTTTTGAAAAAAAATTGACAGATTCATGACAGATATTTGACAGTTAAATATATGATCGGTAGCCATTGTTCTGTTCTGTCGACCTCGACAGAAAATCATCCAAATATATCAATCTTTACTATTGGTATGAGTCAATTCCAATTATAGCATAGTAGTATCGCTATATTTTTATTCTTTTTATTTTTTTAACTTTAATTTCACATATTTTGGTGGAGCTCAGTGTATATCTTTTCATTCGTTGCGAGAAAGTTAATTTGATTGGTGCATTAAAGTTAATGTGACTCCAAAACCGCATTAAAAGTGAATTAAATTTTCGACCAATCATGTTTCTTAATTCTGCATTAAATTCTCTAGTGTAGACAAGGCCTATGCGATTAACTAGAAATTGAAAAAGAAAAAGTTTTAATATTGACAAAGATAAATGTAACGAAACAAAAATTGTATCAATAATCAACTGGATAGGTCCTAACAGAAGAAGAATATGCTTAAAAAATTCTCTATCAAAACCATTATGTAGAAGTGACTAATTAAAATAAAACATTGAAATATGAAATTACAGAATTGTTACGTTGTTACTTTTTCAGCTTGAAACGTGGTGTGTAAATAAATATTAATAAAAGAAAACTTATTTCTATAGCCTCACCTTTCTATTCTTAGCAGAGATGTCCATTGCGCCGCTGCCGCTGCCGCCGCCGCGGTTGGCGGCGCGGCAGCGACGGTTTTCTTTACAGATTAGCGCAGCAGCGGTAGCGGCGCGGCAGATCAATCATAACGTTGGCGCGGCAGCGGCTTTTCATTTTTTTAGCCACCGCGACGCGATTTTTTTGCAGAAATTTACTCTATAACTCTAAAAAATTTCCGGCTTCACAGCTGGAATTTTTCTATATTATTTTTGTTTTCTAATTATGTCGCTTGAGCCTTCTAATTATCTCCAAAGTCACACAAATTGTCTTCTTTCATTGAACTGAAGGTATTACACGACAAATTATAAAGCTGACATTTCCTTCAGATTCTTTTGTTGTTCCATGAAGAACTTAAATAGTCAATGTAATCTCAGAAGCTATACTTGTTCTATATATACTTAGAAGTTATTTGTTACTGTAACATCTAAACTGTTATTCATCATTGATTTCGAGTGAAACCAGAATGCATGACTATTCTAGACCGACAAATGGCATTTTTTCTTCATGTAATGGTAGTAGCGGTGCTGTAACCTGTTCTTCAAATATTGCTGCAATAATGGCAATGTTTTTAGTATGCTGAGATGCAGGAGCACCGCGGCAGCGGCGCAGCTACTTCAGATTTTATGTCACAGCGGCGCGGCTGCTTTCAGTTTTATACCACAGCGGCGCGGCAGCGGCAGGTTTTCAGCCGCGATGGACATCTCTGATTCTTAGTATATTTTTATACAAAAAAAAATCTTGGAATATTGAATTTAATTGTATCTATTTATTTACTCATCATATTTGAACAGGAAGATTAGAATTATTTATGATATTACAAAATAAAATATGCGTTTTTTAAGATATTATTCAACAGAATAAAAAGAAACGATCGACAGTTAGTTTTGTCAAACTTTCATTGAAAATCTTTGTTTTATATATATAGTTTTAGATAATCTGTAATTTCAAGTGATCAAAAGAAAAAGGAATCATTTTTAGTTCAAAGACAAGAATGATGAAACATATTGATTCTAGCAAAGAAAATAGAACATGGTAAAGATAAATATACATGTGATTTATATATATACAGGGTGTTAAAAAACCTTTACGCTCCATGAGTTTGACCTTAATGTAAAATGATTTCACTAAGTATTTAATACCAAATTGAAGCTCGTAAAAAGCTGCATTTATTGGTACTAAATAGTAATGGTTGTGAAGACGTTTTTGATATCGAACTTACGAGATTTTCAGAAATTGGATATTTTGTTTTTTTTTGGTATAGAGAAGTAAGGTACTAGTAATTCAAATATGAAATAAAACATTTTTCTCAGATATTTTTACATGATTCTATAGAGCTTGACGAGCTCTACAAAACTATATATTTCAAAAATAGTTAGAACTAGCTTTCGATGATAAAAAATTCGAAAAACTAAACGGAAAATTCAAGAAAACTGTCAAAAAATTCATCTTTTTTCACGTGAAAGAACATCCAACTTTTTCAATAATATTAGTTTTTTTCATTAGTTATGTTAGCTCAGACATTTTGAAATGTATCTATTCGATGCCGCGTGAAAAATTGCATCGAGTTAGTGTATTTTGAAACGTCTAAGCCGGGAAAAAATAATCAATGAAACTTAATTTTATTAAAAAATTGTGTTTTTCTTCCATTTGAAAAAATTAAAGTCTCAAATATTTTTGTGGTTTTCCATGCAGTGTTTTGAATTTTTTATCACCGAAAGATAGCTCTATGTGTTTTTGAAATATATAGTTTTGTAGTGCTCGTCAAGCTCTATAGAATCATGTAAAAATATCTGAGAAAAATGTTTTATTTCATATTTGAATTACTAGTACCTTACTTCTCTGTACCAAAAAAAAAACAAAATATCCAATTTCTGAAAATCTCGTAAGTTCGATATCAAAAACGTCTTCACAACCATTACTATTTAGTACCAATAAATGCAGCTTTT